GGAGGAAAGCCAGCCAGAAGAAGCCCTTCCTCGCTCCAACGGGGAGGAAAGCCAGCCAGAAGAAGCCCTTCCTCGCTCCAAAGCGAAGGAAAGCCAGCCAGAAGAAGCCCTTCCTCACTCCAAAGCGAAGGAAAGCCAGCCAGAAGAAGCCCTTCCTCGCTCCAAAAGGAAGGAAAGCCAGCCAGAGGAAGCCCTTCCCCGCTCCGAAGCGAAGGAAAGCCAGCCAGAAGAAGCCCTTCCTCGCTCCGAAGCGAAGGAAAGCCAGCCAGAGGAAGCCCTTCCTCGCTCCAACGCGGAGGAAAGCCAGCCAGAAGAAGCCCTTCCTCGCTCCAAAAGGAAGGAAAGCCAGCCAGAGGAAGCCCTTAAAGCGAAGGAAAGCCAGCCAGAAGAAGCCCTTCCTCGCTCCAAAGCGAAGGAAAGCCAGCCACAGCAGGGCCTTCCCCGCTCCAAAGCGAATGCAAGACAACCAGAACAACAAGGCCTGCCCCGCTCCAAAGCGAAGAAGGGGCTAACAGAACAACAAGAACTGTCACTGGAACCCTTTGAGGAGAACCTGCAGAACTTGCAGACTTTCCTCAAAAAGCGAGGGGTGTTACCATGGCAGAGGAGTGATGAGCAGAGTGAGCGTCAATTGGGGCATTTCGTGGAGAAGCTTCGAAATCTTAAGAAGAAAGGCACTCTTTCAGCTGAACGTCTTCAACAAATGAACTCGTGCTGTCCTCTGTGGAAGGACCTCTGTCGTTCACGTCCCGGCTTCGGCTTACTCGCTCACCCGTGTTGCGTTGGATTTTGGTTGATGTGCCATGTCAATGAGGTGTGAGTTGCCCCGGCATGTCCCAGGCATGCCCCAAAAATGACTCCTAGTCCTTGCATGTCCTTGCTGCATATGATCGTTTCATGCCCTCAGGAGTATGCAGAAAAAGCTCCACCTGTGGTGGCCATGGCACCCGACCTCGAGGACGAGTCGAAGGCGCCGGGCCCCGATGCTGACGGACTGAGCACGTCCCGCTACTCGAACGTCCGGATGACACTGGATTTGGCCAAGTGCAAGGGTAGCACCGAGCGGCGGGCCATGCTGCGGCAGTGGCTGTTGAAGTTTCATCCGGACAAGAACAGGGAAGAAGGCGCGCGAGCCATGTTCGACTTTGCCCAGTCGATGTGGGAGAGAGAGTTTCGACAGACGTGAAAAAGCTGTGTGGCCTCGCACCGAAGCTGAAGCTGTTTATGATTCTGGTGGTCATTCATGCTTATTCTAAAGGTTGTCGTATTTAAATGTGCTTGACTCATGAGGGTTGATCCATATTCATCCTTGCGGCGCAATCAAAAAGACCTGGACCCGTTTGAGGTGTTCGTTTTTCTCACTGACACCGACCAGCCAAAGCAGCCAGGTTTTGTCACACCATGGTTTCCCCATGTTTCCCTCCCAGTCCCTGGGCTGTGGGCTAGGCTTGTGGACACTTCCTATGATGGGGTTCTTGCACATCAGCAAACCAAAGCTACTAGTAACAAAGAGGGCATCGCTACTAGGAGCAAGGATGCTTACTAGTAGCTCCTGGCATTACTACTAGGAGCAAGAAGCTACTATTCAACCAAAGCCTATTGACAAGAACATATTACTTTCTCTTGCGAGGTTCTTCGACACTGCGTGAACGTACCCTGTGCTTCCAAAGGGTGTCCAAAGCTGTAGGGTAGTCCATTGGACACCCCCTGACGGCTTGGACAGCCCCTGACGGGAAGCTGCTGAACCGTGGCATGGGTTGGATGGCATGACACCTCGGCAAGCCGCAAGTGATGCACTTCCAGCACAGGGTGTAACCCGCACCACCTGATCCTCAAACCAACTAGACCAAAACACCTTCGAAGCCGGAGAATCCTCGGATGCCTTTCGACGACCCCGTCGGACCGATGCGGTGCTCCGCACGGAGGTTCTTTCCTTCTCCGTCCGGGAGAACCCGCCAGAAGACGCCCAGGATCTGCGGCGCTGAAAAAGTGATTTGGGTCAATGTATCGAACAGCAGCGATCGGACGCTACGATGCCCGGGGCTCCTGGCATCGCTACGAACAGAACAAGAAGCTACTATAGGGGCTCTTGGCCGTACTACTAGGAGCAAGGAAGCTACTAGGTTGGAGGCCATCGCTATTAGAATCCATGTGGTTTTTGATTTTGTTCCAAAGGAATCCCAAAAGTCGTTCCGGACTCTGCAGTACGTAGGTTGTGTAGACCAACAAAGAAGTTGTTTTGGGCAGACTTGGCGGACTTGCTGTTTTAGGATCCTAGAAAAGGGTCTGCTTTTTGCCACTTCTACTCAAAGCATCTCAAGAACTTGTTTACACTGAACATTTCCAACATGGTGCACTTGGAACTTGTCGTTGGTCTTGCAATACCACCATGGGCCAGGCCCTTTGAGAAAGAACAATGTGCTAGAGAACTCAGCCGACGTTTTCTATTTTTCGGCGCCGATTCAGTCTCCAGGCTTTGGGCAAGCTGAGCGACAGGACATGTGATTTTCCTCACCATGTCGCAGATCTAAGCCTCCTGAAGGAGCATGACTTCGAATGCCCAGGTTGTTTCTGCACATCATTGCTTCACAAGCTTCAGACCCAACACCAGGATGAGCATACAGAAAAGTCTAAAAGACCTACGTCGTGCAATGAGAATGGTCACAGTGAGAGTTGGGCACCCGGTCTTGAATCATGTGGAGTCTTCGTCCACAAGCAGCTTCTCCATGCTTTGCCAAAACCAGTCGGGCTAAAGTCCGCGAGAAATCCGTGATATCGTTTGTTTTTCACATGTCCTTCCCCTTTTTAGAGTTTGGACCGTCTTTCCCATGTTCAACCCCCTTGAAGCAACCAACCACCTCCGCAAACCGAACGGATCGCGCACTCCGGCGCCATGAGCTGTGCCCCGCTGGGACCGCCCTGCGAGTGGGCGGAGAGCAGCCGCCAGAGCAAGTTGGCGATCCGCCGGTGGGAACCGCCCCAGGCGGCAGGGCGGAAGGGATGGGGGTTGGGCGTCCGATCGCGAACGCTTCGAGTCGCGATGCCGTTCCTGGCGTCAGAAAACGCGAACGCTTCGAGTCGCGTCCTTAGTTACTAGTAGTACGGCTCCTGCCGTTCGTAGCGTGGTTGCTCCGTTCGTAGCTCAAGGATGGAAAGGATGGAATCGGAGGTAACATTGGGTTAGCTGGGTTGGGTGGTCCAGACAGATCGGAGCAATGGCCTCCAACCTAATAGGGCTTCCAAGCAGAGTATTGGTTAAGTACCTGGAGGAGGCAAGTGGTGACGTGATGTGGCTCTCTTCTCCCCTCACGGGCGGCTCCCACGCGCAGTACCGACGCCAGCCCCAACAAGCGATGCCAAGAGCCCCGTTCGTAGCGCCCTTGCTCCGTTCATAGCGATGCCCCTTGTTCCTAGTAGCTTCTTGCTCCGTTCGTAGCGATGCCAGGAGCCCCTAGTAGCGTCCTGCTAGCAATCACCAAAAGCGGCGCCTCGTTGCTGGACAGGTGCCAAAAGCAGTGGTTCTCATTGTGCATGGCGGAGCTGGATGGTTTGGGAACCTGGCAAAGACCAGTCTCACACGCAAAGGCGTAGAGGCGTAGAGTCGGAGAGGTGTTTTGAAGTTTTTTGGGTTTGCAACCTCCAACCAACCAAAACCAACCAAAACCAACCAGAACCAACGAAAACCAACCAAAACCAACCGAAACCAACCAAAACCAACCAACCAAAACCAACCAACCAAAACCAACCAACCAAAACCAACCAACCAAAACCAACCAACCAAAACCAACCAACCAAAACCAACCAACCAAAACCAACCAACCAA